TGTCCATCCCCACAGCCCCCTGTCCCTCCCTGTGTCCCCTGTCCATCTGTCCAGCCCCTCTCCCCCGCAGCAAACCCGTGTACACGGCGCTGGTGGTGCTGCTCCTCTCCTCCATCACCTTCCCGCCGGGGCTGGGGCAGTTCATGGCCTCCAGGGTGAGTGGGGGGGCACAGAGGGCTCCCCGGGGACCCCAGAACGTCCTGGTGGGCGCTCAGGGTGTCTGTCTGTCTGTCCCCGTGTCCGTCCAGCTCACCATGAAGGAATATCTCACCTCCCTCTTCGACAACCACACGTGGGGGGGGCGGGCCCCCAATGCCTCGTGGGCAGCTGAGCCCAGGGGGCTCTGGCAGGAGTGGGACCATCCCTTGGCCACCATCTTCGGCACCTTGGCCTTCTTCCTGCTCATGAAGGTAGCCGTGCCCTCCCCTGAGCTCTGTGTGTGCCCCCGGCTCGGTGTCCCGTGGGGTGACCCCTCCCCGTGTCCGTGCTGCCCCCCAGTTCTGGATGCTGATCCTGGCCACCACCGTCCCCCTGCCCGCCGGGTATTTCATGCCCATCTTCATCTACGGTGAGCTGGGGGTGGATCAGGGATCAGGGGGGCAGCCAGGCCCGGGGGGGCACAGGGGGGCAGCCAGCCCTTGGAGTGAGGGGTACTAGGGGGGTGTCGAGCCCTCGGGGTGGGTACATCCAGTCCTGTGAGGGGTACACAGTGTATCCAGGGGTACATCCAGACTGGGGAGCACAGGGGGTGTACCCAGCTCGCAAGGAGTGGGGCACAGTCTGGGGGGGGTGTGGGTGTTTGGGCTGTATCCAGCCTTGGGAAGGGGGTACATCCAGTCTGAGGCTGTATCCCACTCGACTGGGGTTACATCCAATCTGGTCCAGTCTAGGGGGGTGCAGGGGGTGTATCTGGCCCTGGGGGGGGTGTGTTGCATCCAGTCTGGGGGGCATAGAGGGTTTATCCAGCCTTGGGAAGGGGGTACATCCGGTGTGGGGGTGTATCCAGCCGTGGGTGTGGGGGTAAATCCAGTGTGGGGGTGTATCCAGCCGTGGGAAGGGGGTAAATCCAGTGTGGGGGTGTATCCAGTCCCGTGGATCGGGGGGTGCATCCAGCCCCGGGGGGGCTGCAGGAGGGTGGTCACCTCCAGCTATTCTGGGAGGGCACTCCCGGTATCTCCCCCTCGCCCCCTCCCCATTTCAGGAGCCGCCATCGGCCGCTTGCTGGGGGAGGGGGTGGCCCTTCTCTTCCCGCAGGGGCTCCATCCCAAGGGACCCCCCCCGGCCCATCATTCCCGCGGGATACGCCCTGGCCGGTGAGTCGGGGTGTGGGGACACACCCCCGGGGGCGGGGAGGGGGACACCCATCCCCGACCCCTGACCCCCCCGGGGCTCTCCCCCCCGCAGGCGCCGCCGCCTTCTCGGGCTCGGTGACCCACGCGGTGTCCACGGCGCTGCTGGTGTGCGAGGCCACGGGCCACCTGGGCCACCTGCTGCCCACCGTGCTGGCCGTGCTGGTGGCCAACGCCATCGTGCAGAAGCACCAGCCGTCCTTCTACGACGGCGGCATCATCGTCAAGAACCTGCCCTACCTGCCCCCCATCCGCAGCCGCCACACCGCGTGAGCCCTCCCCTGCCCCCCCGCCCCCCAAAAAACACGGTCCGGGGGGTTGGATGGAAATTTAGGGGGGGTTTTTTGTGCTCTCCAGCTCCTACAGGGTGGTGGTGGAGGAGTTCATGCAGCGCCGGGTGCTGGCCCTGGCCAAGGGGGATGGTTTCCAGGAGGTGCTGAGGGCCTTGGACGCCTCCTCTGACGCCGAGTATCCCGTGGTGGAGAGCGCAGGTGGGATTTGGGGGCTGGGGGGGTCACTGGGATTGTCCCTGTTCTCCAGGGTCAGAAGGCAGGTGGGATTTGGGAAATGGGGCATGTCACCAGGATTGACCCCCAAAGGGGGAGGGAGACTCCAAAGGGGGGCAGGACCCCAACGAGGGACCCCAAAGGGAGGGCAGTAGCCCCAAGGGGGGAATCCCAAACTGGGGGGAGACCCCCAAAGGGGGGTGAGACCCCCGCGGTGACCCCCAGGCTGAGGGGGGGGGACACCCCCAACCAGGGGGCTCCAGGGTCAGAGTGCAGGGGGGATTTGGGAAATGGGAGGGTCACTGTGGCCATGAGGGACATCACTGGGGTTGTCCCCCTTCTCCAGGGTCAGAGTGCAGGTGGGATTTGGGGGACGGGGGGGGTCACTGGGATTGTCCCCACCCTCGAGAGTCAGGGTGCAGGTGGAATTAGGGGTTTGGGGGGGGGGCACTGTGACCACGGGGGTGTCACTGGGATTGTCCCCATCCTCCAGAGTCCCCCACCCTGGTGGGCACCGTCAGCAGGGCCCAGCTGGTCACCTTCCTGCAGAGCCACGAGCACCCTCAGGCCCCCCCGGGGGAGAAGGTAAACAGGGGGGGAGCACCTGATGTGCCCAAAACACTGGTTTTCCACCCCAAAACAAACACTCCTGATCTGCCCAAGGTGGCCCCGGTGGGGACCCTCGGGGACGACTGTGCCATCGAGCCCGTCATGCTCCAGTTCTCCCCGTGGACGTCCCTGCACCAGGTTTGGGGGGGGACATGTGTCCTGGGAGACACCCCCACACACACACACCTGTGTGTCACACCCGGGGGTGGCTCTGTCCCCACCTGTCCCTGCTGTCACCTCTCCCAGGCCTATCACCTGTGCCAGCTGCTGAAGCTGCAGAGAGTGTTTGTCACCCGCTGTGGGGACCTGGTGGGAGCCGTGGGGTGGGCAGAGGTGAGAGGGGAAAGGGGGGAAGGGGAGGGATGGGAGGGAAAGGGGGAAAAGGGGGAAAAAGGAGGAAAAAAGTAGGCAGGGGAGAGGGGGGAAGGGAGGAAAGGGAGGAAAGGGGGGAAAGGGGAGGGATGGGAGGGAAAGGGGGGAATGATGGAGATGGAAAGGGGGGGGAAAACTGGGCAGGGGGAGAGGGGGAAAAGGGAGAAAAAGGGGGAAAAGGGAGAAAAGGGAGGAAGGGGGGGAAGAGGTAAAAAGGAGGGGAAAATAGGGGAAAGAGAGAAAAGGGGAGTGGGGGAAGGGGGGGAAAGGGAGGAGAAGGGGGAGAAAAAGGGAAGGAGGGAAGAGAGGAAAAGGGGGGAAATGAGGGAAAAGGGGGGGGAAATGAGGGAAAAGGAGGGGAAAGGGAGAATGGGGAAAAAAGGGGGGAAAGGGGGAAGAGAGGAAAGAGGAGAAGGAGGAAAAAAGGGAGGGCAAGGGGAAAGGGGGAAAAGGGAGGAGGAAAAGGGGGGAGGAAGCTCCTGTCCCACCTGCTCTGTCCCTCTGCAGCTGCGCAAGGGGATCGAGGAACTCGCCAACCCCAAGGGATGACTATTTGGGACCACGAGGGATCCCTCCCCAGGGATGTCACCCACGGAAAGAGGGGGATCCTGACCCCCCAGGTGATGGGGAGGGGTCTCCCCCGGGGGGAGGGTGTCCTGGCTGGGGGGGCAGTTTCCCAGCAGAGTGTGCTGTGCATTAAATACATCGATCCCTCTGTGCTTCCTCCTCCTCCTCCTCTTCCTCCAGCCCCACGGGGTTCATTTTGGGGGGCTCACCCCCCACATACCCAACAAACACCCCTTAAACCCCCCCGAAACTGCCCCAGGACATGCACTGAAGTGCCCCGGTCTCTGCATCACCCCCCGGCCCCTCCTCCAACTGTTAGCACATAATTATCCTTATTTCAATTATCCTTAATTACAATTAGTAAGGGTGGTGGGTGTTCAGCGACCCCAAGGTCTGCGGGAAGTGGGGGGGCTGAGCCCCCCCCAGCCCTTCGGTGACCCCGGACGGGAGCTCAGCCTGTTTAGGCGGCACATCGGGCGCTAATTAAGCCGGGGGGGTAATTAAGGGCGGCAGGGCAGGTTGGGCAGGGCGGGCAAGCCTGGGCCCGGCTCAGGAGGGGTGAAGCCGGGTCAGCGCCAGGGAGACACCCCAAAAGTGGGGCAGGAGCTGGGCTGGGCACTGGGAGCACTGGGAGCGGGGCCGGGCTGGGCTGTGGCACCCAGGGAGGGGGGAGGGGAGCGCGGGGAGGGGGCCCCAAATCCCTCGGGGGGGCGGCACCCCGGGGTGACATCCCCGCCGCCCCACAGCCCCCTCCCCCCGTGCCCCGGTGTCCCCCTCGCCCTTTCCCGGCCCCACCCCGAGCAAACCCGGGACAAGGCGCTGCCCAGCCCCCAAACCCGGGGGGGTGCCCCCCTCACCCGGCCCCTCCCCGGGCGCTGCCGGACTTTGAGCCGCGCTCAAGAACACGGCGGAGCTGAGCCCGACAAACTCGTGACACACACGGGGCACCCACAGCCCCAAACGGCCCCGAAACGGGGGGAAACCCACCCAAAAGGCAGCTTTTGGGTTGGTGCCCCAAAAGGTCGGTGCCCCCGACCCTCCCCCCCTCCCCGTTCTGGTTTGGGGCAGGGAAAAAACCCCTCCAACCCCTTTTTTCCGGCGTTTTTGCACCCGGTGATTTGCAGGCTCCGCGCAGCCGGAGCCGCCGCCGCTGCGGCTTTGGGGGATGGAGAGGCCAAATTCCTCCCGGGTTTTGCTGAGGAAAAGAGGCCCCGGGTGGGAAACGGTCCTGGAGTTGTGTTCGACCCCTTAAAAAACCTGAAACCCCCTTTAAAACCCCTTAAAAAACCCTTAACCCCCCTTTGAAAACCTTAAAACCCCTTTAAAACCCCTTAAAAAACCCCTCTTTAACTCCTTTAACCCCCCTCCAAAACCCCCCATCCTTAAAACCCCCTTAACCCCCCCTTAAAAATCCTAAAAAAAGACCTTTTAAAAACCCTTAACCCCGTTTAGAACCCCTTTAAAACCCCTTAAAAAAAACAACTCTTTAACCCCCCAACAAAACACTCCAAAAAAAACCCCATCCTTAAAATCCCCTTAACCCCCACTTAAAAATCTCTAAATAAAACCCCTTAAAAAACCTTAAACCCCCTTTACAACCCCTTTCAAACCTTAAAACCACATTAAAACCCTTTAAAAAACCTCTTTAACTCCTTGAAACACCCAAAAAAGCTCCACTCTTAAAACCCCCTTAAAAATCCCTAAATAAAACCCCTTAAAAAACCTTAAGCCCCCTTATAAAATAACTTAAAATCCTTTTAAAGATCCTAAATCCCCTTAAAAACTCTGATAACCCCTGAATAAACCTTAAAAGCCCTTAAAAAACCTCTTTAACCCTTTTAAAACCCCTAAAACCCCCCACTCTTAAAAATCCCTTAAACGTCCTTAACCACCATCTTAAAAACCCCTAAATAAAGCCCCTTAAAAAACCTTAAAACCCCTTCAAAGATAACTTAAAAACCCTTTTAAAGCCCCTAAACCCCCTTAAAAACTCTGATAATCCCTTAAAAACCTTAAAAAACCTGTAAAACCCCTTAAAAACTCTTTAACCCATTTAAAATGTTTTTAACACCCCTAAAACTCCCCTACTTTTAAAACACCCTTAAACCTCCTTAACCCCCCTTCAAAATCCCTCAGTAAAGGCCCTTAAAAACCTTAAGCCCCCTTAAAAAATGCTTAAAAATAATTTAAAACCCTTTTAAAGGCCCTAAACCCTCTTAAAACCCCTGATATCTCCTAAAAAAAAGCTTAAAACTCCTTAAAAACTTTAAAACCCCTTAAAAACCCTTCACCCGTTAAAAACCCCTTAAAACCCATAAAAAACCCACTGAAAAAAAACCTTAAACCTCCTTAACTCCCCCTTAAACCCCCCTAAAATTCCCTTAAAAGCCCCAAAACCCCCTTAAAAATCTTGAGAATCCCTCAAAACCCACTTAAAGTCTCCCTTAAACACATTAAAAACCCTTAAAAAACCCAGAAGCTTTAAACACCTGAAAAACTACTTGAACCTCCTTAATCCCCCCTTAAAACTCCCTCCTAAAAAATTCCTAAAATCCCTTAAAACCCCCTAAAAACCCCTGATAACTCTTCAAAGCCTCCCTTAAACCCCCTTTAAAATTCTTAAAAAACCCTTTAAACCTCTTAAAAAAACCCCTTAATACCCCACCAAAAACCCCCTTTAAAAATCCATAAAACCCTTTAAAAACCCCTTAAAAAACATATTTAAAACTTCCTTCAAAAATCCTTTTAAAATCCTTAAAGCACCCTAAAAAAACTGCTTTGAAACCCTCTCAAAACCCTTTAAAACTCCTTTAAAACACCCTTACACCCCCTGAAATCCAGGTGAAAATTCCCCCCACCCCCAAATTCCCTCGATCTCTGCAAACAAGTGGGAAAAGACAATATTCTAGAAAACAAAAAAAGCACATTTTTTTTATTCAAAACCCCACAAAAATCCCCGAAAATCCATGAAAAAAAAGGGGAAAAAAATCCGTTGTTTTTTTTTTTTTAATTTTCCCCTTTTTTCCTCACCCAAATCTTTAATTCCTCGCAATAAATATACAAAAATAGAATAAATTAGGTTAAAAAATACAAGGCAACACTGGCAGGCACAGCATTAAAGGGAGGGGGAAGGGGGGAAAACCACCCAAAAACCTGGTGGGAGAGGAATAAATAGGGAGAAAAAAAGCAAAAATAAATCAGTTTTGGGACTGAGCCCCTTTTTTTTTTTTCTTGAAATGTGGGGGGGGCGCAAAAAGAAAAAAAACCCCCTGAAAACCTCCCCCAGCTCC